AGGGCGTAAGCTCCTCAACGGTCTCAACGTTGTGCGCGTAGACATCTAATCCAGACCGCGCAACCACTGCCGCCATCTCGGTGTCACCGCGGAAGTCACCGGTCAAACACTCGACCAGCATACTCGGCTTCTTCTGCTTGATCTTGATAACTGTCTCGGCGAAGTGATGCGCGCCGCCGTCTGCCAGATCGTCACGGTCCACACTCGTCATCACCACGTATCCCAAGCTCCAGCGGGAGATGGCCTCGGCGGTGTTCTCGGGTTCGTGCGGGTCGAGCGGGGCAGGGGTGCGGGATGTCTTGACACTGCAGAAGCGGCATCCGCGCGTGCAGGTATCGCCCATCAACATGATTGTCGCTGTGGCGGAGGACTTGTCGCTGCCGCCCCAGCAGTCGGAGATGTTGGGGCATCGGGCCTCTTCACAGACGGTGTGCAGATTCAATCCTCTCAAATCCTTCTTTAGACGCTGGAAGTTCTTTGAGTCTGGGATGGGAGTCTTCAGCCATTCGGGCAAACGAGTCATTTCCTTCTTGCGGCCGGCGGGGCCGACAAGCGCGGTCTTCAGGGCGTAGGCTTCCGATGGGTCGAGAATTTCATCTTGACCTCCTGAAACAAAGTCGGAGAATGAGGGTCCAGCATTCAGCTTATCCTGGAACTTTGTTGCTCTCCGCCGTGTGGTTCCTGGTGTGTTCGTGGCGGATGAGGAGTCTGTTGTGGCATAGCTTCGGCGGCCGATGGGAGCAATTACTGTCGAGGCGGGGGATATGGTGGTTCTGAAAGACGACAGGCGTCGTAGACTTCTGCTTGGAGCTGCCATGATGTATGAGTGTATGCTATGTGAAATCGGAGAAAGCCGAATTGGAGTTTGTCTGGGCAGAGGATCCCGCGGAAAAGTATGACTAAGCCATTTCGCCGCATCACCTCGGGCGGGAAAGTATGTCCACGATTGTACGTCGATGGGGAATAAAACAATAAAATGACGTTTGAAACTGGAATAATGCTTATAAGACTACAAAAAAGTCTGCGGCGTATACGTCTTTAGATTTGACGTTGTATTGGAAATCAAGTCTACAATGTGCTTCTGGATCTCTTTCACCCTTCCCAGTGGTATAGATAGGAAATGAAAAGTCATTGGATGGCATAGAATTAGAGAACTTTTTCATGTATGACCGGAGCTTGGACTAGTTGATTATGCCATTATTATTATGGTTGCTATGCTATTGAAACACTAACTATAGATGCTTGACCCCCAACGCAAAAATTTTACCAAACAAAGTTCCGAGGACCGCGCGATGCAAGGGTATGAAAAAGAAAAGCAAAAGAGAGTAATAGGAGAGGAGACATAAAAGAGAGCATGGGTAAACAAAGAGGAGAATGAGAACTCAACGATTAGAGCTACTAATGGTAGGGAGACAGATATGAAAAGAGATAACAGGGAGAGACGAAGACGGTGAGAAGACAGTAGGAAAGGTTCTTCAAGAGAGTGCAGGAAAGAATTTCACAACAAGGAGAGATGAAAAACAAGGACAGACTTTAGTCAGGTATAGGGTGAGAGTAGGATTAATAGAGGCAAGGAAATGAAAGATGCAAGGAGTGATCAATGCTAAACAGTGGTTTCGAGAACTTGGGCGAGAACTTCAACAGCTGATTTCAAAGTAGGATCAGATCGGCCGCAGATGGCGAATAGTAAATTGTCCACGATTCGCTCCAGCTGTGTCTGGAGCTCCGTGCTGCGAGCGCTGAAAAGGGGGTCTTTAGACTTGCTGGCAGATCCAGATGGGAGCTGGATGCCTAGTGTGGTGTATGCTTTTTTGGGGACGCCGTCGAGGGCGTATGCGTCTTTGCGCGTAGAGACAGGCGACTTTGCTCGCAGGGCTGATAGAGAAAGGAGATAGTTTCGAGCGAGGAGGGCAGCACAGAGGCAGTCGAGTAGGTTCTCTGTTACATCTGGGAATATAGTTCGGAAGGGTCTAATGAGGGTTTTCTCGTCATTTTTGCGAAGGAATACCATGACAGGGGATGCGAGACGCAACATATGACGAGGAAAGTCCTTGACAGAGTGGTCCAGCTCATCTAAGGTCCATTCATGATCGTCCAGCGTCCAGTCATGGTGCCATATGCGTGGTTTCTCATCCTCCTTTTCAGAAATGATAGACGCCCGCCCTGGGGAGTGGGTTGTTGGTGGTGATGATGCCTTCGGGCTTACACTACCCGATCTGATCTCAGGCTGTGGGCTTGCCTCGCGCTCTCCCTGCGCGATTTCATGCCTCTCGCATATCACGGTTGATCCGACACTGTCGGAAGATGTCAATGAACCTGGATCGGTAAGTGCATCGTCATCATCGACTTTGCTATCATCATAGCTATCAAAGGAATAGCCAGAGTCGCGAGTTCCATACCCACTATCAGACATACCAAGAGGGGTGTCTGGGCTGAATGCTGATACTTCCTCTTGACGCTGATCGGGGGTTGTCGGTACGGTACTTGGAAGCAAGCATGGCGGTGGCAGCAGCGGAGGCGATGGTGATGATTGTCGAGCAATATCGACAAGTTTCGGTTTCGTCTTGCTAGCGACAACGAATCTCTATCAGGGGGTCAGCTTTCGATGTCATCTTCGTAGTAAGAAATTCTTGGACTTACCACAGGTTCTTCAAGGGCTTTCCCTCCGGGGATGATGTCGAGTTTTGGCATTGGAGGATCGTTCTCGACAATTTGGAACTTGCGCCGATTTGTGAACTCCTTTGTAGATGTATTGTGATCATTCACCTTGTCAACCGGAACACCTTGCAGCCATCTTTCACAATAGGAGAAGTTACTCGGCACCCAGCTTGCTTCACTCGATACTGTCGCAGTCCGAGGGCGTTGGGGTCTCGGTGAGCTCCCAGGGACAAGTACTTGCTCGGTATGGACTGGTTTCGGGGATGATTGGGAAGGCGCATGCTTATTCGGAGATTGGGGTTGAGAATCCTGTTCATTGCCAGACTCGCACTGGCGTACGAATTCTGAGTGGGCTTCATGGACATTCATGACATCTGTGCGCGGTTGATTGTTCCAGTCTGGGGGACGGTACGCGGTGTACTTTATCCTCTCCCCGATTTCCAGTGTGGCGGCCGTGGTAGCAACATCCGGCTGAGGGGTACCAGACTTATTCTCGTCCTTCCCCTCACTTGATCGACCTGATCCCTCCGAAGACTGTGAATCAAAGTAAGATAACTCAGGACCCGTGCTTGCGGGGCGAGATTCTGATATAGGCGGGCTGGGTAGAAGGCCGAATGCTTCCAAGCTCCCACAAGTCAGGTTTTGGTCTGAGCGCCATGTTCGTAATGTGTGATCTGCCGGCGCTTTCGATGCCTTGTTTGGCTTTTCAGGAAAGTTGGGAGGAGGGCCATCGAGGGACGCCGGGGATGATGGAAGCATTAATTGAAATGGTTCTTTCATTCTTCGAACCGATCGGAAGGGTGACATGCAAGCTGGTCCCCGGTCTGTGGGGCGGCGCGATGATGAGGCCGAAAAATCCTGCGACTCTATGCGCGGAATTACTGGTGAAGGTATAAATGATAGTGAGGGCATCTGTCGGCTTCGTCTTCGGGGTATGTAGGTAGGAGACCATCGGCGCGGTGATGGAATGGGCTCAGGCTCAGCCATTGCCATCACATCGTGGCTCATCGAGGACGAGTTTGAGCCCTGGTTTTTTATATGTGTTTGGATCCGGGCCGGTAAACAAGCATGGTTAGGCATCTCTGTCGCACCAGAGTCCATATTGGACAATGGTATTCGCGGCTGAAAGTAAGTATCCTGGTCTGAAAGGTCGAAGAAAAAAAGCAAAATGTGTTGGACAAGAGTAACCCAGATGAGATTGCAATCCAGCTTGTTTATTGTTGAAGTCAAAACAAATGGACCTCAAGGGGCTCGATATATCCTTATACAGCGACTGTGGCGCTAGTCAGCTAATTTAAGGTGGGTATGGTCATCAGGCTCAAGTGCACATCCCTTGACAGGACTACAACCCTGCCATGAAAGCCCGAAAATGTTCAACGGAACGATTCCCCCTTCGAGCATGAAAAGAGGGTCCGTCGCCTGGCACAAACACTTGCAGTCAGGTTGTGCTAGGCACGGGCCAGGGTAATAATAGTGGGAATGAGGTCTGGTTGTCCTTGCATTCCAAAGAAGTTGAGAAACCAGGACAACGATGGGCAACAATTGGCTCCAGATCTCAATCTTTCGTCCTGCGGGAGCCCGTCAACGTGGAGAGGCCCCATCCGTTGCCTCAGGTCGTCATATCCAGGTTCCGACTGGCCACTTGGAATGAGACATCTGCGATGCAAGAGGGGGGAGAAAGGAGCCATGGCGAATCAGGCACTTGTGCAGGGCAACAGGATCAGCCAGAGGGTGTATTAAAGCGGGTCTTCATTGGATCTTGTGTCTCGTCGCAACAGCAATCCACCCCTTCCGGCCTATCCCTTGCATGCATCTGGTTCCTACTGGTGTTATTGTACATATCAACATAATTTATGGTGGTTTGGATATAAATGCCTGACGAGGGCTTAGGTTGATCGCCCGGGACACCGCATTTGAGTCTGAATAACCTGACAAAACAGGAATCATTTCGATTGATAGACTGGCGCAAGATGATCCCTCATACTTGCTGAACTTAGTTGACCCAGATGGGGCTGACTAAGAATGATAGGTCGAACTTCCAGCGGGTCTAATATAAAACACGGCACAATTAGTTGATAGATGCATTCGAAACAATCGCCCTGTCTATTTATGAAGACAGATCGGGGATATCTTTAGAAGGTTGCATTAGTTAGAAAGGCAAATTGGTTAAGATAGATCACACACGGCCCGTGGATGTTCTCCGTGGCTGGAGGTCGGAGATTGGAATCCAAACAGTGCAAACATCTCGTTATCAATCGATAGAGGAAAAAAAAAGCTCGGAATGGCCAACTTCGAAACCAACCTCCCATACTTTGTATGACAGCCTCATTCTTCCATTCCTGATGCTTTCCGAATCATTTGTGGCGTCGACGGTGTCATCCGCTAAATCTCCGACAGCCTCACTCAGAGATGTAGGAGTCTGCGTCCACGAATTGCAGCCTTCGTCGATACTGCGATCAACTTTCAAGAAGAGCTCAACGTTGACCAATTGTCTGGCTGTCAGCCCCTCGCATATTTTCACAGCCCAAGCCGACAAGGCTGTTATTCACGTGTACAACCGGGATAAGGGTAACCAAGAGGCTGTTGTTCCATTTCCGGAGCGGATACGCAGCATTGCTGTCGCGGGGGGCAAGTATGGTGATGTCTTGGTTTTGGGCACCGAGGGTGGTCGATTAATTGTCTGGGAGGTATGTTGGATATGATTGATACATTTCCCCATGTCATGCGTCTAACAGTTTTGTCAAGACATGCACAGGACGCCAAGTAGCCACCACGGCATCCCATCTGCAACCAGTGACCTCACTCATCGTCGACCCCACGTCCAACTTTATTCTGTCCGGCTCCGCTGATGCCAGTGTACATGTTTGGTCCTTGCCTGGAATTCTGTCGTTCTCAAAACCCGCTCTTAGCGCGACTCGCCAACCTACAAACTCGCCTATCCGAACTTTCTCCAACCACCGCGCCGGTATCACCTCTCTGGCGGTAGGACATAGCAATGGCCGCCATAACATCGTCGTATCGACCGCAAAGGATAACACCGCGATCGCATGGGACTATCACACCGGCCGTGCGCTGAGAACCTTCCTCCTTCCCTTATCCGCAACATCAGTGGCTCTAGACCCGGTTGACCGGGCTTTCTACGTGGGATATGAAGATGGCAGCGTGCAATCAGTGGATTTCTACCGGAGCCAGTCTGCGCAGCATCCTCTTCACGACCCTTCAGTACAATCAACACCCGCACAGGTGTCAATGGAGGATCGGTGGCTCCCTCCCTCGGCTGAGACAGGATCAGTGAAGACAATCTCCCTTACATATGACGGGACCACGCTACTCTCGGGCCACGCGAATGGCAAGGTACTGTCCTGGAATGTTGCGCGACGAAAGTACACAACATCAGTGGCCGACTACACGCACCCGGTCACCAACCTGGTCATGCTCCCTCCGGGTGGCATCCCTCACCCTTCTTCGGATTTGAAGAGAAAGGCCCACACCATCGTCAAGCCGCGCCATGATAGTGGCCTTTCGGCCCCGAACCATGCCCCTGGCGCCGTCCCCGCAGAATATATGTTCCACACGCAGATCACCGCCCCATCCGACTCCCGCAAACCAAACCAATTCTCTCAGGCGCTTACTCACTCCTTTTTCCCCACCTCCATGATAGAGGATGGTCTTGCAGAGCTCGCGGCATTCCGCCAGCCTGGTAATGCTGAAGTTACCCGTGTTTCCCCCAGCACCGCCCCCGCTAGGGAAATCGCGGAAGACACAGCTGCCCGCGATTCGCAGGTCGCCGAGCTAGAAAACGAGGTGTCTGTGCTCAAGAAGAAGGTTGCGGTGAATGAGACTGCTCGCCATAATGCGGACGACGAAGTTGTACAGCTGCGCTCTGAACTCGCCAATCTGCAGGATTACATCAATGAGTTGCATGAGAAGCAGGAGGCCGCACAGCAGGAGAAGGTCCTGCGGCAAGCAAGGAAGCAGGAGCACGAGGCGAAGAAACGGGAAGCTTGGCTCGCTGCAGAGAAGAAGGGTCGCAATGGTGATGCAGTCATTCAAAAGATGGACATTGATGGTGCTGTGACCAGTGACTCGGATGATCAGAGCGACGAATAAAAAAAAAAGCTTTGCATTTTTAGTTGGCATATCAATGGATCGGCGCACGGTTTTGGATTAGTATATCCTATATCATTTTGAAGCTTTCAGGTCAATAATAAAAATGTCCGCCACGTTCATGACTATGCATATGTGTATATCTCAATTTCATAAATGTTTTTCTCATATCGCCTTGAGACGGTTCTCATCTATATCTTTCATTGGACGGACCATTAACCCTAAGTATGTTCTTTTCATTGGACGACTCAGGCCGTCTATGTCCAACTCTATGAGCTACTATTTCAATAATTGTCTGATTTCAGAAACAAGGGTCTTACATTTAAAAAAAAATGATATCAAATCTACCCTGGATGGGATGATCTCATTTCCTGGTGGGTCGTGTTCACGAGGCAACCCCAAAGGGGCTGCGGTAATGCAGGGCTCTCACGGGAAGATGCGCAAGGATGGGTCCAATTGTCTCAGAACAGCTCTGCAAGCTTCTCTCCTCGTTCACCAAGGACATGTCGCTATGGCAATTGGGATCTAACAAGGTCTCAAACCTTGTATATTATCCAGGACCCTATTCCGCTGCTCACGCCGTTACCCTCCCGTCGGATCTACACGCAGGGGGTCGACACATATGTATCTATACAGCTACCACATACAGAGAGATTGCGTCCAGAGCAAAAGAGTAAAAATTTAATGGATGCACATCATGTTAACGGCATAGAGCATTGCGGAGCAGTTAAAAAAAAAAGAGCCTAATATCCCTCAATCTCCATTATGAAAGCTCCACCTCCAACCTCCAACGACACACCCATCCGCACAAGACATATTCCAGGGAATCACAGAAAAAAGCTCAAGCTACGGCATGACTACAACCCTGTTCAAGAGCCTCCCCCTCATCAATCTCCTTCATAATCTTAACCCCAGCACTAGTCCCAATACGCTGCGCTCCGGCTTTAAGCATACGCAATAACTCCACAGCACTCCGTATACCACCACTAGCCTTGATCAAGCACGTGCACCCACACATCCTCGCCGCAAGGCCCATCTGCGTAACTTGCTCAACACTCGCACCGCCATTCCAGCCGGTACTTGTCTTGACATAGTCCGCACCGGCCATGCACGACACAATCGTCGCATCGATAAGCTGATCCTTATCAAGCACAGAGGCTTCTAAGATAGCCTTCAGGACAATTGGCTGCGGCGCGGCGTTGCGCACCGCACGAACGTCCTCATACACCTCCGTGTACCGGCCTTCTTTCAGCAGATTGTACCGGATGACCATGTCGAGCTCGGTGGCGCCCTGCGCCACGGCTTCTTTAGCCTCGCGTACTTTCTCGGCTGTTGGGTGCGTGCCCTCCGGGAAGCCCACCACACATGCAAGCCCTGTGTTGGTGCCTTTGACGTGGCTTGCTGCGCGGGCAACATGCTCGAGTCGCACGCATACGGTGGCGAGGTCGTATTCAAGGGCTTCTTTGCACAGAGTGTCGATCTGTGTGGGGTCGATTGGGGTCGCTAGGAGGGTGTGATCTATCGTGCGGTTGATTTGTGTTGGAATTGGCGGCTGGGAAAGTGAGCGTTTAGGTAGCTGCTTCTTCATGCTGGCTATCTTCTCCGCCCATTCGGCATCTGTTGATGGGATTTCACTCATGCTGGGCGGTTCGTGTGGTGTGTCTTCGGCTGGAGAGCACGCCGCCGGAGTAGTTAGGGATTACTTCTGGAAATGTGTTCAGGTTCGCCTACTACACTTGGCATAGAGGGGAAGAGGGGATGTCACGTGGCGCTTCTGGGATCATCATGACGACCCGTGATTCATATTGACACGATGTGACCTTGGAGAGGCGGTGTTGTGGCGCTAATGGACTAGTGTGTGTGTTTGGGGCTTGCACTTTCGGTAAGTACTAGCGATATACGAAGTTTAATGGATGAGTATCAACTTGTAGTATATGTATATCTCGAGGGTTGTTGTAGCAAAGTACATCGTTCCGTTGAATATCAAGAGTGCATTGCAGGATGCATCACATATAACAAGCTTCCTGTCCAAGAGGACAACAAACCCAAGGGCCTTTTCTACGTACTTGACTTCGTATCACAAATAGAACCCGCATATTAGTGTGAATGGATGGGCGGGCATTTGGTCTAGCGGTTGTCGTTGGCGACCATTTGGCGCCGCTACTTTGGATGCCCGTCCATCTTCAGCTTGAGTGCCGTTTGATCTCAAGTTGCCGGATCGCCTTCGGGCGGTGACTTTTTTATTTTTTTATTCATTTTGGTACTTCCCAACAATGGAATGATAACCACACGACAAGGCAAGGCCTAAGAGCATAATTCCCAGGACTTTATGGAGTTTCCTGGAGGCCGTATACGTCCCCATCACACATGTTCCAGCAAGGGTTGTATGTTGTATATGTCAAACCCCCGATATCTTGGTCCATTAACGTATTTTCTCCCTTGCGCCTACATTTGAGCAGCGATTTAATCGCTTTGGCAGTTCGCTTATTGACAGCTCTTACACTCCGGCCCACGAACATCATCCACACGTCCCACGCGCCGCGGACCGAATCCCGGACCACCGCCGCCACCTCCACCACCACCACCTCCTCCTCCGCCGTATGGGGTTGTGCTGCCTCCCCAGCGAGAGCGAGTAGTATATTTATTGCCCTGGTTCTTGATGTTGAAAGAAGAGTTCTCAGCGGCGGCGTATGAGTCGAGCTGAAATAGGTCAGATTGGTCCACTTGCGGAGCATGAAAGAGCGACAATCGGAAATGAGAAACAAAAAGAAAATAACGTGTCGCAGGTAATAACGTTTGCGAGATATACTTACCGATAAGAGGGTAGTGAAGTACAGGCCGAGGAAGAAGTAAACGCTCTCGATAAAACGGGTGAGACGCACGTTGAGCGGGGGGCTGCGGACGCGCTGGTCAGTGGTTGGGGTCTCTGGTTGTTGCAGAAAAGGAGAAAATCACCTCTGGAGAGCCTCCCCGTTGGAGAAATAGACTGGCTTTTGGGGCCTGGCAGACATGGTTGTGGGAGAGGAGGATGGTTGTCAGAATTGAAGATGTGAATGAGGTGGAGTGATCAACATGGCCGGGCCGGGGTCCACTAATTTATAGCCGCACCCTTTTCTTTTTCTCCGTACATCGTATACATACAACATACCAAAGGTCTACATATGTTTCAAAATACTAATTTTACTTTCAAATGATGGCATCTTCAATGATCATGCATATCTCATTTCTAGGGGTATCTGAATGCTGTCTATATACACTGCGCTCCACAATTTGCAATCATCACTCGGAAATATATAAAAAAATGTTAAATCACTGCTTCTCGTCCACTGACACAGCGATCGCCTCCACTTCGCTCCGGATTTCATCCAGTCCATGGAAGCCTTCTTCAATCACCCATCGCTGGCCTTGGGGATTGTGCAGCACGTGGCAACTAGCACCAACCACCAGCAATCCTGGTGGTCGCGACCCTGCCTCTTCAAACGCCAAACAGACGTGTTCTAATGTCGAGCGAATGACACGCTGATCTGGGCACGATGCACGTTCAACAATCGCACATGGTGTTTCCTTAGGCCAGAGTGTGCGTGATTGTGAACCGGTCTCTTCGGCGGGGAAGGTAGTGAGGGACTCTACAAGAGCAGAAATCCGGTGAAGAGCCATGAGGAAGACCACGGTCTGGGTAGGTACGTAGGTAGGAGGGTTGGGAGCAGCTCCCTTTCTTCCAGTTCCTGTGCACACGAGGACCTGATCGGAGACACCGCGGTGGGTTGCTGGGATATCGGCGAAGAGGGCCGCGCTCATAGCGCTAGTGATACCCGGCAACACGACCGGGGAATAACCCTCCTTTCTGAAAAACTCGAACTCTTCCGCTCCACGTCCATACAGATATGGGTCTCCCTGTTTCAAGCGAAGGACTTGTCGTCCTTGCTTCAAAGCTGCTAGACCCATCACGAGGAATTCTTCCTGCGCTTGGTCTGCGTTGCCAGGGAACTTGCGTGCGATGTGAACTTCTGTTCGACGAGGGATCAGGTCGAGGACTGGAGCAGGGACGAGTTTGTCTGCGAGGATGATGTCGGCGTTGTGGATTGCGTTGTAGGTGGCGCGGGTGAGTAGGTCTGGGTGACCGGGGCCAGAGCCCGCGAGGACGATTTTCCCATTCTTTGAGGGCGTATCAAGACCATTTGTCCCATCAGTGGTGGCATTGCCAGATGTATAGGCCTGCAGGATGGTATCTATATCGCTATCGGTGATAGACACGAGCTTTCGGAGAGGCCAGTATTCACAGATCTGGGACAGCCAACGCACCCTTCTTGTTTTCGCCGCGGCAGCATCGCCTTCCGTGACCAAGTTGTTGAAGGTGTGTTTTTGGCCTGTACTATCATCGTCCTCTCTGTCAAATATGCCTTCTACTAGCCCGGCAGCATTGTCCTCTTCCCAAAGCCGCCTCCGCACGGCACCAAGTCTATCGATGGCCGCTCCAAGGTTTTGGGGTAGGAAAGCAGCAATCTCCCTCCGCAGCCGGGATGCAATCTTGCACCCCCGGCCGGAAGTGGTGATTCCAATGTGAAGGGGGCCGTCTGAGTAGGTAGAAAGTAGGGTGAAGGAGCATAGTTCGGGGGCATCTGATACGTTCACTGGGATTCTGAGGCGCCGGCAGAGCTTCGATATGTGTGGACCTAGGAGGAAATGTGAGTAACAATGGGTTGGGAAACGTGCAAGCAGGTCTTACTTAGTGAGTTGTTGCCACCCAAAGTGACAAAGACCAAGTCCACAATGTGATCAACTTCTTCTCTGCCCAGGGTTGTCAAGTCCTTATCTTGAAACTCACGACGAATCCATTGAGCAGAGCCATTGGAGATGTGTTCAGATAGAGTAAAATGCATGTCATCGGTCTCCGGTGCAATGATAATCGGCTTTGCGCCGACCTCGAGGCTCCTCGCACATCGAGCGGCGGCAAGCGGATTTGAACCGACAATCAAGTGGACTTGTGATTCGGTATTCCACGCAGCCATCAATGGCGCGGGTGAACTGGGATCGCATGAGGCGTCCTTCATGGTGAAGTATAGTAGAGCGAAATATCAAGCCCCGCCAATGACTCTATCAGTAAGAGATATATGCCGGTTTCAGAAGGGTAAAAGAGACCAAATTGCGGAAGGCCCTGGGGTTCTGAGGATTCAAGAGAATCAAAGCCCGTATTTAACAAACAGAGCACCCAATGAAGTGACTTTCTAGACTTCCGCGGAGAAAGCGGCGAATATCAAGTCTGAGTAAAAGGCCTGTCACGATTGGTGATAACGAGCGATAAGGATATCAAAGTGGGGGATGATCCTGGAACAATTGACAGGAAGCCCTAAAATTTGATTTGAGTATGATCAAGGGTCAGACGAAGGTCCTTGAGGTTCGATCTTATACCATTGACTCATATATAGCAAATCTCGCAGACACACAACTATTTCCAAAATTTTCTATACATCTTTATCGCCTAAAACGGTTAAAGGCAATTGCGTGCTTATTATCACGTGACTACAAATGCCGGGGACCATAGAGATACCCAAAGTAGTTTAGTGGGCCGTGTAAATAAAAAGAGACGCGTCGTCTTTTAACTATACCTAACAAAAATATAGTTCCATCTTTGACGTCTTGGAAATTGGTCCATTTGGCTTAAATATCATTGGGGACATTAAATCCAAAGATAAAAAAACGATCTCTTTTTGAATACTTTTCCTTCGCAGTATTATAGTCGGAATGATGAAATGGTTAGTCATAAAATGTAGAAGATAGTGACATCCTAAGAACAACTTTCCTATATACATACAGCATGATAGTTTAAAACATGGAAAGTAATCAAGTAAAATTTCCGTGTATGTATGTATATATATGTAATCACCTTGAATATTCTTTCCATTCCCTGCCAACGCCCCTTCTGCGACTCGTCCACGTTCCTTCCCAAACTACGACTAAGCGACATGCAACCACGAGACTTCACTTTCCGTTTCCACTCCAGGCCTCCTATTATCAGTCACCACTTCGTGCTCTGTAATTCCACTTTTTTCATCGCACCCGGCCTGCTTCGCGCGGCTCCTGTCACCGTAGTTCCGCGATGGAATGAATGAGGAAATGAGCAAACATACCCATGGACGCTCCCATCTAAATCCCCACAGCAAACATTTCAGCTGGCTATGCGCGTCAATTCTACCATCCAAAGCCCTACAAAACTTGGCCCTCTCAATCATCCTGGTCTCCTCACCATTGCCGACTTGAACCCACAAGTCGTTATTGAACTATCGCGGAGACTTTAATAAACAAGCCCCGAAACGAGCTCTCCCACTGTTGCCGAAAGGACCATTCACCACCACTTCAATCAACCTTCCTTGTCTCAACTCATCTAGATCACTTGATCCCTAGCCTGGCTTTTCAATGGTGTACGACACATTCAAAATCGAACAGTGGAACCCAGAGGCCCTCCGCCATGTCGTGGGAAACTTTCAACCAACCAATCCAAGTGTATGCGGAGGCGAACACAGTATTCAGGGCCGCCACGAACAGCCGGTTGGGCAATTAGTGGGAGCTACCCTGGATGCCCAGTCAGAAGACAGGTGTTTTCCCGACTCTAAGAGCATCAGGAACAAATCACCAGCAGCCCGAAATTTGTTCGACTCTCTTTATGGGAATTTTGCTATCGTGTGCCTACAAGAGACAAGATGAATGGTAGGGGCTTGATGGAGCCATATTCACATGTAGTGAAGTGAACATCAATTTCAATGGCAGACTCCAGCTGGAAATTTTACATTTTACAGTTCCATCCAATATCATCTCTGATCAGCCTACATTGGCTCTTGAACTTTTCGATTTAATGACAAGGTATTGGTGGTAGCCTTCCACTGGGACAATGATCACACTGGCGTTGTGCCTCTGGAGACCGGACTCCCTAGTCTTCCGGGACCACTACCGGTTTGGTCTCGCTACTTTTCGCCTCAAGCCAGATGTAACGAATCAAAAGCCCTTGATGATGATATGTGTGAACTCTTGTTTCGTGGAAACAGCTATATCGCATTTACTGTTGTTGCATTTACTTTTTAATCCAATCGCTCTTCCGTTGCTCATACTTTTAATTTATCTAGGCGTAACTGATTTTAAGCGTGTACTTGTCTTGCTATAGTTCGGGATCTGCTCGAGTTGACACTAGTACCAACTAGGTATAGTATAGCCTGGATGGAAAGCATAGAAACGCCTGTCCTCTGGAAACACCACAATCTGGTGATCCAAAGGCCACGCACAATCATGTCCCACTGCACCCAGGCTTACAATGTAGATTCACACGATTTATAGTGTTCGGATTATTATTTGCGGGCCTGCAGCCTTCTGACAGTTGGTCAGATGGTGTTGAAATCTGACTTAAAGCCTCTTACATTGGTCTCCAGGCATCTTTAAGTCTGTGAATAGAAAGCATGGACCAGACAATATATATATTGTTGTTGCTCTGGTTCAAATATTCATTACCAAGAAGATATTGAATATAATTTTTGGAAATGTTCCAAAATAACTAGAAGTACAGAGTAGAATGTCTAGGAAGACAAAGTGATGTTTCGGTCACGTGGGACGGAGCTTCCAGCTCGTAAGGGCGCGCAACACCGGAGCTACAAGCATCATCTCCATCACCCTCTTCCATTCCACGAATCTCACGTTGTCAAGCACAACAAACGTGTTTAAAGACATTTCCTACCAACCCAACCCATTAATCTTTTAAATTGACACACCGGCCCCCAGCCTCATTCGTCATCATGTCCGGCGGCCTGCTGAAGCCCGAGAAGGACTTCACCAAGGATGCTGACAAGCTTATCCCGGAGGCGGAAGATCTCGCAAAGGTGCATCCAGACTCTTTTTCCATGTCAAAGCCGATGCTAACATATGTGGTTTTAGACCGATGTCCAGGGAGCAATCGATAAGCTGTTGGGTCTGGAGAAGCAATCCAGACAGGTATGACGCCGAGTGCCATCCCCATTACCGATCCACCCAAACTAATCAAGATTCTCTTGTTCAGGCATCCGATCTTGCCACTACATCGCGACTCCTGATTGCCATTGTCACCATTAGCAAGAACTCCGGCGACTGGAACCTTCTGAACGACCAAGTGCTGCTCCTATCAAAGAAACATGCCCAACTCAAGCAGGCCACAACGAAGATGGTGCAGACGGTGATGAAATTCCTGGATGAGACACCTAGCCTGGAGGTCAAGATGTCTGTTATCGAAACTCTGCGCACAGTGACTGAGGGAAAGGTACGCCGAGAATCATTTGATCTTGACCGGAGTGGTGCTAATTGTCGCAAAGATCTTCGTTGAAGTAGAGCGCGCCCGCGTTACCCGCATCCTTTCAAATATCAAGAAGACCCAAGGTGATCTCACTTCGGCAGCAGACATCTTGTGTGAGTTGCAGGTGGAGACATTTGGGTCAATGACGAGACGGGAAAAGACAGAATTCATCCTGGAGCAGGTCTCTTTGTGTATTGAGCGCGGAGACTGGACCCAAGCTCAGATTCTCAGCCGCAAGATCAACAAGCGGTACTTCAACCGCAAGCCGAAGAAGTCAGCTGAGCAGATCGAGACGCTCAAGAAGGAGGCAGAGGAGCGAGAGAAGACCCGTGGGCCTGATGAGCCACCTATGGAGGTGGATGACGACGTCACAGATCTCAAGCTTCGTTACTTCGAACAGCAGATTACCTTGGCCAACCACGATAACAAATATCTCGAGGTTTGCAAGAACTACCGGGAAGTCCTGGACACGGAAGCAGTTGAGAACAACCCGGAGCATCTGCGTGCCGTAAGCAACCATTTCCCATCTTAAAATGTGCGTCATCACTAACTCGCATATAGTCACTTGCCCGTATTGTGTACTACGTTGTCCTGTCTCCCTACGATAATGAACAATCCGACCTCTTGCACCGCATCAAACAAGACTCGCGGCTGTCACAAGTTCCCGAGGAATCCCGCTTGCTGAAGCTGTTCACCATCCCCGAGCTGATGCGCTGGCCTATGGTTGCCGAGCAGTTCGGCCCCCACCTGTGCAGCACAGACGTGTTCGACGCCGAGGCGAAGCAGTCTACTGAGAACCAAGCAAACCAGAGGTGGAAAGACCTGCGGAAGCGAGTCATTGAGCACAATGTCCGTGTAGTGGCCAAGTACTACACTCGCATTCAGATGGGCCGTCTGACCCAGCTTTTGGATCTGACTGAGGAAGAGACGGAGAAGTACATTAGTGATCTGGTCACGTCGAAGACCATCTACGCTAAGATTGACCGACCCGCACGGTTGGTCAACTTTGCCAAACCCCGGGATGCCGATGATGTCCTGAACGAGTGGAGCAGCGATATGAAGAATCTGCTGGGTCTGCTCGAGCGGATCGACCATCTGATCACCAAGGAGGAGATGATGGCCCGTATCCAGCCCACTCGCAGCGACATGGGCAAGGCGCATTGAGTTGGTTTGAGATGAAAGCGTGTATGGGACTTGGGCGCGGGGATTACTGCCACCGCGTGTAAAATAATTCGCCGGTAGACCCATGAGTAGTGAAGTCACAGCATTGACCTTTATATGACACATACACAACACAATCTCAGTCTCATAACAGTAGCAGTCGTCAAGTCATTATTCTCAAGAGAGTATATGTGCTACAAGTAGTCATGGTCTAGAAAATCTAATCTAATCTAATCCAGTAAAGACCCAGCTCTGTCTATATACAAGGTCCTCATCCTCAAAACGGCAAATCCATATCATTCACATCCTCTTCCACCTCCTTCCCGTTAGCATTCAATCCATCACTACTCTCCAACTGCTCTCGAATAAACCGCACAGCAGCATCAAGATACGGGCGCTGACTCGGCAAGAAGTGACCACCAGGATGCCAAACAACCAACCCCTCCTTCTCAGGATCACCAGCACAAGCCTCAATCAAAGCCCGACTCCTCGACTCATCAACAAGAGCATCCAAAGACCCAAGCACATGCAACACAGGTGTCTGAATAGCAGGCTCCTCATAGAAAGCCCTGTACCGGGCCCCAGGCGACCTGAATCCAGAGTAACAAATCGCAAACTTAAGCTGCGGATGCTGGAAATCTTCCTCGCCGAATGGTGCCGGAATAGAAATCCCCGCGGCGCCATCAGTGCTTATTTGAGAAAAGTGCTTGAATGACGCCTTCCGGCCGGGCTCCAGCAGCGCTGCAACCATGGCGGCTAGTGCGGCGCCCTGCGAGAACCCGATCACGCCATCGAAGGGGCCCTCTTCTTTCAGTGTACGCCCTACAGCTGCAAACCCTTCTTCGAGACCGGTGTACAGCGGCGGATTTGCGGTGTTTGAGCGCCGCCACCAGCCGTAGGCTTCGATTTCGTTGTCTGGACTGCTTTCCGCGGAGGGCTCGTAGCCTGGGATGTCGGAGGGCAGGAGGCGGATAGGGGCTGTTGGGTAGATGGCGGAGACTTCATGCAGGGGGAAGGCCTTTTGGATGCTTTTTGTCAGGGCGCGACTTTTGGCGTGGAACAGGCTGCCGGACTGTGTGTAGCCATGGAGCATGAGTAGTTTGAGCGGTTGCCGCGTCGAGGCTGACGGGTTGGGAGCCATTGTTGTGAGAGGCCGGGTGCAGGTGACTCTGGGAAGTAAAAATGATTTTAAGGAGTGGAAAGAGAGACTACTCTTATACATTGGAGGAGAAGAGGAGAGACTGGAAGAAAGTGACTCTTTTTCTCCCCTCTCCGATGTAGCCCGATAAGAGATAAGAGGGCGGAGTGCGGAGTCCCATTTGGGAAATTCTGACCACAAACGGCTTCATCACATCAACAAACATCTAATTTGAGTCTCAATTCTTTCCATTCTTGACATTACCACATATAACCTGCCATCATGTCAAACACCAACCTCCAAGATCTCAATGCCAAGATGCAGGCGCTCATCGAGCATGTCTCCCCCACCTCGCAACCCCACCACGCACCATCTTTCTGAACCCTCGACGATTCACCTCGCAGAAACATACGGTATGTCGCTTACATGTCTGGATAGTGCCTTTCAAGCCCACCCCCAGTGCCAGCCCCCTAGCACCCACCCAACTATCTTTTTCCTGTACGACTTCGTCCGCAACAGCCACAACCAGCTGAAGGCTGTCGACGCCGAAAAGTACGCTGCTGGTGACAACGCTGCCAAGGCCGCCGTCAACGAGATTGAAGGCCGCAATGCGTTTGCCAATATGCTCATCAATGACAAGTCTGGCAAGCTGTCTATGATGACCGGCGGTGACCCGTCCAACCCTGCTGATTTCGGCCCGGAGATCAAGAACAAGGCCCTCATCTTGACCCAGTAAGGGGTTCAATGCTTGGTTTTCTTATTCATCTATAAATATTCGTTCAATGGGATGGGAGGATCAGCGAGATTGGCTGGGCATTGCTCTGCTTGGTCTTTGGTTTCCGTCTTTCTCTGAGTTACTGGCATCTTTTTTTTCCCCAATGACCTCATGTACACAAACAAACACTTATCATGACATACCCATATATACATACAATCTTAAATGACTTCTGGTATTCACAGGATATCAATAGTGCCTCAAGAGATACGAGACAACGAATCGAAGAACAACAGTGTCCCCGGAGTAATCGATGTTGAACTATAGGATCTGCAGGCTGACATGGGAATAATAATAATACAATGAAAAGGTTCAAGAGCATAAGTTACTTGAGGTTGAGAGTCCCTGATCTAGCCTGATATGATTATCTGGTGTCGTACGTGTTCTTGCATTAATGTGGTTTGGTTTCACTGCTCCATCTACCCCAGGCTAAGGCTGACTAGTACGATAGCAAGACTTTGATTTGCAATCGTGATATACCGCAAGGCACAGTGAATGGACTTGTCACCCCTATCTATTATATACCCACCCATTCTTCGCTAGTTGTCGGATGGTAAGAGCGATATAGATGTGAGAAGCCTACTCTCATCCTCCGTAAGCCCCCACACTAATTCAGGTATGTATAGGCCTCATTGGGCCCCTTTGATCCACCTAAGACCTGTCACCTCTTGGCATGGTCACTTACAGAGTACACAGCCTTCACTTGCACAGCCATCAAAGGATTGAGTTGGCAGATATACCGAGCTAGCTGATATATAATGTATCTTGTTGAAGTAACCGTGGTTCGCCAACACTAAGTTGTTAGGGAATTCTGGTGATGTTGTTGATCTTCAACAGTCTTGGTTGTGATACTTCCTATAGAGCTACGGCTATACATCTACAGTTGGCAGCCGTCTAAGGTACAACCCATGATATAGAGTCTAGAACCCAATATACAGTAGTCGCAGATACATTTAATACATTAAACACAAGAAAGCAGAAAATCAGAACATAAAACAGAGCACAAAGTCTAGCAAGGTGCCTTTTTTGTGCCAGATATCCGGAACTCCCTTAGCAGAATGCTAGTTGCTTTTTTTTTTCGAATGCTTTTTGGGGGGTCGTTGACAGGGTCGGGGCATTCCATCTTCTATCTGTCATCACGCGCAAAAGGAAAACAAGAATTCAACGCTGAGATATTAATCATCACCGTGAAATGCAAAAGAAAGAACAGGCAATGGTGGAAATAGGATGAGAAATGGGTCCCAAAAGGCCACATTCAAATTTGTCTTCTTCAAGAGGGGATTCAGCATACTTGATATAGTATGGAAAAAGAACCATATCACATCTGCAAATCGCACCCCTCACAAACCCAACACCAGTCGAAAAAACAGTTAAAGGAAAATGTCCGTCCATGTGGTTCGGCAGGGGAAGGGTGATATTGAAAAAAGGGTTGTTTGGTATGTGACATTTTGAAGCCCGGTAGGAAGAGAGAAAGAGAGAAAAGTCCAGTATATGGAACTGGACCCGAATAGCAACTCTCTCCCCTAAACACCGAAAACCGAAGCCGAGACGATCAAAAAAAAAGTAAGAAGAGGTCAACCCCAGGTTTTGGTATTTTCATCCTAATTTCTCCATGCTAATTCTCTCTTTGACGTTTCAACCGGAACATAACAAGAAAAAAAAGTTTTTCATTCGTTTCTCGTTTACTTGCGGCGGAAAGAGCAGCCCTCAGTCAGACGGGCCTTGCCACCGGTGGGCTGGCAGAGGACGGTCGAGCAACCGGCGCAGATGACGACGGTCTGGGCGTGCGAGAAGACGGTGGTGATGGTGAAGCAACCGGGGCACTTAACGTCCATGAAGAAGGAGCGGGGCTGGGGCACGAGGGTCTGTAGGCGGAGAGATTCGATGATCAGCCATCATTGTTCTTCCAACATTTCCATTTTCAAAAAAAAAAAGATTCCCTGTCGTTCGGTGCCTTTTCCTATTTGCTCCATGTCGAGCATCGGAGTTCCAGGTCCAGGTCGAATATCCAGGTTTTCGCCCCTCGTCGGGTTGATATTTTCACATCTCATTTCGTGTTTCTTTCGGAGGTAGGTTGTTTCATACCTTAAGCTTGTGCTTACGGGCCTCGGCCTGGGGGGTGGGGTTGAGGAGATCGACCGCGAGAACCTATCGACAGCATGTTAGCGTCGGTGGACGTTGGATTTTTGGATATCGATAATCCGTATAGGTCTCCCATGTCCGTGTGTATCGCATCGAACTGGGACCGAGCGGAAAATCAGGGCGAAAATGGGCTTACCATCTTGACGAGTGAAAGTCGATCAGCGAGATAGTTGATTAATGGCGCTGATGGCGATGGCCTTGTGTGATGCGGATGAGGTGGTCTTCCAAGAGAAGTCTGAAGGGATTTGGACCGGTTTGGGTGGAGGTAGGGCTTTGTGCCGCTTTGTGCCCTCGCTTGTCCTTATTCGGGAAGGCGGCGAACTTTCCACCAATCATAGTCTGGTTATGTAAGCTACTGAGGTAAGCACGAGCTCAATCGCTGGTTCCGTGTGGAGACGTGGATTCCGCTGCGGGCAGGCAGTCAGGTGCTTCCTTATTATTCTTCTACAACAATCTCAAAAACAACATTGGAACGGCAATATTACAACTCTCATATTCTATCGCTAGAACGCCACTCCGAGCTACTTGCTCTGTGTTGAAGGGAAACTAAATTATGTACTGGAAAACGTCATTAGCCAGGCATCATTATGTCCAACGCTCTTTTCAAGTGTCCGACTGATACCCCGACTCTTTCACTTAGCTCAATTGAGCTGTCTCGCCTGTGGTGATCGAGGTTGAACTGCTGTTCATCCACAAGCCCACCAAACACCCCGGATGGCGCCAATAAGCCTTTCATTTGGTCTTCTTCGACACGCCGGTCTTGCGCTCAGTCTCCTCGACGAACGGGTACTTGATCGTGAGGCACCAGATATCGATGTAGTCGCATATCGTGGTGATGATGTCAAACTGGAGGAAATCAGAATCAGCAAATCGTCGCGCGCACTTGGAAACATAAGGGAAACATACCACGAAGCTACCGTACACACCGATGGCCAGTCCCAACAAGCCGAACGTGAATGCCACCTGCCCAACACCATACCCAAGCACAGGGGCAGACCACAAGCCGATCAGCGCACCCACGCTGTCCAAAACACCCAGAGCAAGCGGGTACAGCAGGGCATTTTGGTAGGGGAAACTCGTCTGGGTGAGGTGGCCGATGATAATGCGGCCGACAGAGTAGGCATTGACGAGAGTGACAAACACGCCGAAGGGAATGGTGTAGTTTTCCAAAATCACCGGCTGCAGGTATAGGTAGGCGGGAATGAGAGTCCAGATAACCGCCAAAGGCAGGAGGCCATACAGTGGCGAGAAGGGGTCCTGGCCTCGCTCGCGACGCACTTTCATGACGTTCATGATACTCGAGCCGATAGAGAAACAGAGCATGAGTGAGCCATACCCAAGATACCAATAGGTGAAGGGCAGGTTGTACACTTGGCTTGGGAGGAAGCTAGGCTTGGGCACGCCGATGGTCTCCAGCATGGGCTGGTGCCAGAAGCTGCCGCCGCCCATGTAGGCGGTGATAATGTAGACGAGGCATATGGTAAGGATGCCCTCGACGGGACCAGATATCACACCCAATGTGAGGATTTGGGTGTAGTACTCATCCCATGTTTGGATGTAGAAGGTCATCGTTGCTGCGATTGTCAGAAACGATTTATGTAGGAAGGGTATGGGGAAGGCTGGGCTTACAGCCGAATAGAGCGATGAAGGTCATCCAGGACTGGCCCATGTTCGTTGCCGCTGCGAAGACCAAGACACTGAGGCCGGTATTGCATGCATCGACACCTGGTAACATAGGAGAAAAAAAAGCATCAGCAATCCATACACTTTAGCCTCTTCCGTACTGTTTTCGGGAACTCACTGTGATCAAAGAGCTCGCCCAGCGGGCCACTCTGTCTCGTCCTCCGTCTAAAGCGCAGCCAGTATCAGTAAAGCGCCACTCAATTGCCAAGGGAAAACTGTAGACATACGCCTGCATGCCATCTACGGCATCGAAGGTCTGGTATAGGAACAAGCCAATCGCACAACTGGCATAGACCCAGGGCGGGCAGTCTGTGTCCAAATTCGGGTTGTACCACATAACGGTGATGAAGTTCATTACCACGAACATGAATCCGGTGAGGGTGATCTATCGAAGCGAAGATTAGGATCTTTTCTTATACTTCAGAAATCGCAACAATATCGCATGTGCAAGACTTACAGCATTGGGTCTTTAAACGCGCAAAGAGTATAAGAATCGAGTCAGTCATAGTGCGCTGTATAGATTCTCCGGAATTTGACAGGAAAAAGAGGAAGAATAGCGTATCCATCCTAGTATGCAAAAAAGGACACCAGCGCGAGGACGGACAACCCATGCACACAAAGTCCTGGGAGAAAGCAAGGAGAGCGAGTATACTTACGCCATCCCCATGGGGAAGCAGCGAATCACGCATTTGTTGTAGAACGGCTTCAGGATATACCGACTAACAGGCGAATGGTCAACTCCAGCATATTTGTAGTTCTTCAGATTCGCCAATTCGTGTTGCCGGATGTACACCATTCTGTTTGTTGTTTTGCGCGTCTGTGGACGCGCGGGTGTCTATTATTCGGGATTTCCGTTCTGAGCGCGAGTCATATATTTGATTGAGTTGTCGCGTTGCGGTTTTCGCAATTAAATGCGCGCGATTAAAGTCGAAGGGTAATAATGAACGATATCGGCGAACGTATCTCCGGGAAAGGTCGAAAACAAAGGGGAGAAAGAGAGGATGAAGAAAAGAAGGGAAGAAGAGAAGAAGAAGATCTGATCTCCGTTAGGGAGAAACAGCCGTAGACGCGGGTCTATGATTTGATATTAAAGATCGGCGTCGAAGAGAGAGAAAGAGGCCACTTGGTCTCGATCTTTTGTTGACTTTTTTTTCTGCCGGCGGAGAGAAGTGAGGTCTTAGATTAGATCGAGATGTTCGTCTTTATACATCGAGATACGTACATAGATATTTGACTACAACACTTATTCGTCTCTTCTCAACTCCGGAATCCATATGCACCTGGGCAAGTGAATAGTCACCAACGTAACACCTCTGCCCAAGCGATCTAAGCGTTGCCAATGAAATTCCTCAAAGTGTTGGGATGAGCAAAAAGTGGGGTTATCCGAGGGCACGAACGTTCCAAGATTGCTCGGACATCCGAGCTCAACGAATAACCTTGGAATATGGGGAAACCGGGGTTGTAACTAATAACAGGGTTGATGTTTGACTAATGGAGTTGACACATGCTTAATGCCTAGGTACACAATACAGAATCGGATGCAAAAGGCCTAGTATCCCATTGCATGCATCCCGATGGAAAGGAAATAAGGGTATGGGGTAATAGCAACCAATCGCGGTCAATACACCTCGCGACATCCTCATGCAAACAATGAAAATTCCCTGGACGCCAAGATCTCAAGAATAGGCCAAGGGAAATTGTTTCAGCTGGCTCTCGCAATTTAGCCGACAGGGCTCCAGGGCATCGGGACAAGAATCCGGCTCTGCATGCTCTGGATCAAGGGAACAGTCTTGTGAACCGTCTCGGCCCAGCCTTCAACACCCCATGACTGCTCGCGGCAGATCTTGCGCTCCTCCAGGTTGGCAAACTGCCATAGGTGGTGCACTGTGTTTAATTCGCCAATTTGCACAAACCATGCGCCTACACCCTCCATCACCTCACGACGAGCTTTAAGACCACGACGCCAGTGTGTCTCCCACTCCAAGAGATTGCCCGGGTGCAGTGTGTACGACCGAAGCTCAAACAGTCCACCAAGACGGCGAGGTGGGGTTGTGGGCCAGAACGAGAACTCCTGCATCAACGAAGTCCGCTTGCTCTTAATCAGGCTCTTGAGTTTGCGATCAAAGTCACGGAACTCTGGGTGTTCCGAAATGCTGTGGAGAGAGTCGTGGTAGCCTTCATAGCGTTGGTATTCCCAGATGTGGACTATTCAAGCAAGGACATAGTCAGCACACAGAAAATGATGGGTTCGTTTGATCAGGGCTTACTGAAAGTATCATTGTCGCCCACTTGCGTCCGCCAGCTGCCCACCAAGTTGACACGGTTCTCCTCGGTGCCTGCCATGCGGGGGTACCACTGGCCCACCAAATCCACATACTCATCAACCTTGTCGGGCTTAACATCGTGCATAACGATCGAATGGACGTATTTGCCGCGGGCTAAAACCTGTGAGAAGGAGCGCTCCATATCCTTGTCGAAATGTTGACCCTCCTTGGTGCCGTAGATGAGTGAAGACAAAGGGCCACGTTTGGCCGCGGCTTCTTGTTGCTGGTCATCCCCTAGATAGCGGTGCGTTGAGAGTGAGCCCAGTCCTTTCTGGTCAAGCGTCATGGCAGCATCGAAAGTAGGGCGGATACGATCATGGCTGCTCGCATTGCTCACATGTGGAGCAGTGGGAGCGTACTCACGGGAAGGGGAAGATGAAGAAGCAGAAGCATTGACAGACTGACTCTCTTGCTGTTGTTCTCTTCTCAAACGAGCCTGTTCCAAGTTCTCGCGGAACTCCTTCTGCCGTCTGAGGTACTCCTCAGTCGACTGGGCTGTAATATCTCGAATGGAGGGAGAACGATAGGCTACGGCTGATGAGCTGAATGGTCGCAAGAGTGATGTCGCCGATCGGGTTGAGCGGGCTGCGCGTGGACCCAACATGATGATGGGTAGAAAGACCAAGGGAGAGAAAATGTGCTTAACAATGATGGATCCAAAGTTGACAACAAGCTGGGGAAGTACGATATAGAATCAAGGAAGTGGGAAGAAAATGGAGACGAGTGAGAGGTGAAGATGGTAGAAACAAAGTGAAGAAGAGAGAGGGGGAAATAGGAGAGTGGAGAGAGGTAAGTGCAGGGATCTGGAGTTGCAGGTAAGTTGAAGAAGGGGGCGATGATCGGGGGATGTACCGATCCGATCGGAGTATGAGAATGTCTAGTACCAGTAACAAAGGGAGTACTGGACTGAAGATTAATATGTAGAATTGATCCAATCACTGCAAATTGATTACATGGAATACTCCGAGTACATTGACAGATGCTACACATGCGACTTTTGTTGAAACGGTAGCTCTTATGTGCGGGGAAGGAGCTTCCCCGAGTTCTTGGTATGGAGTAATAGTGACGGGCTGTGTTGGTACCACCTGCCCAAGTTTACACCTGATCTGCCACTAAAATGTGGGTAATGATGACATCGCCCAGATGTCCTCTATACCAATGGGCTTCTGCAACCATGCTTGGAATAGCGTACATCGCCACCTATTATAGGCTAGTACTATAGAGCTACGGAGTACGGAGTAGAGACACGGCTGTTTTCTCGTACTCGACAGATGCAAATATCATGCAATGATAACACAACATCCCGACACATCTGCCGCCATGACGTTATCTGTGCTGTCTCCACGCTCTTTCACATCACTTCTAATATGTGCATAATAAAGCAGTTGTCCGGAGTATTCGGCCCTATTTCCACCGAAAAATGAGTCGAAAATAACAAACTGCCGTATATCGGAGCATATCCTGCAAGTAGGCTCCCAACTTGGGAAATCCATAGGCCAATATGAAGTGATGACGTTGTCAGACAAAGAGCGGGCACCTAAACCCTTTGGGTAACGGGACACCGCCCCCGGGCAGATCTCGACCCTCTTCTCCCGAGGTCCTAACTTCACTATTACTGTTTTTGGTACTCCAATCTTAAGAACATGGCCGAATCACTCAACCCCCCGCTTTCTTACGAGGCATCTGCGACCACCACTCATCCCCATGTCGCTACCTCGTTGCCATCCGAGGTCGTCTCGTGTCTCAAGAACTCCCGCTTCGTAAGTACAACGCCATTACACAGATAACCAGCCCACCAAACTGACATCCTATCGCCCCAATCAAGCTGCACCTGGCAACATGCGATGACAAAACACCCCATATCTCATTGATGTCCTACACTTATCTCCCCTCGACCCCATTCGACCCGCGCCCCACCATCATCATGACCACCAACCCCGCATCGCGGAAAACAAACCACCTGTTGTCCAACCCGCGAGTCTCACTGCTGGTCCACGACTGGGTTTCTCATCGCCCACCGACCCGGGCTCCGACGCAAGGTGAACGTGATGGCTCCCCACCACCCGCCGCTACCCGCTCGTCTCTTGCCAGCCTACTGCTCAATCTGAACACTAGCGCGCTCTCCAGCATCTCGACCACCATTACCGGCGAGGCACAGTTCTTGGAGTCCGGCTCAGAGGAGGAATCGTGGTGCAAGGCTCGCCATTTGGAGAATAATACTTTCGAGGAAGAGGAGATCAACCTCTTCGGCCAACAGCAGCAACAGGATCCTAACGCCAGACGGCCTAGCGTTTCCATTGATACTGATGTGCGGGTTGTTACTGTAAGAGTTACTGAGGGTCGTATTGCGGATTGGAAGGGTGGTGTGCGCGACTGGGTCCTGCTTCCTGCTGAGCAGCAGGACTCTGGGCTGGTCAATGGCGTGGCTTCTTCATAGTTTGGAATCGGTATACTCCAGTTTCAATTTGGAATGCAAGGAATTAGTGTATAGCAATGGACCTATGATTCCTCCCGCATTGGCACTACATCCACGACCAACCCGAGTATAATTTGGCTATTTGATTCAGGGAATATTGCACCAGTGTACGATTCCCTCGGGCAAAGTTTGTCTAAAATTGTCACGTTAACAAATGGCTTGCGCTCGCTGGATTGTGCAGGAATAAAAGAAGTTAAATCAACACAAATAGCTGTAGATACTAGACTCGAAGTAGCTAGTGTCCAATGAATACCTATAGACAGAGATCACAGCCCTGGAGAGAGCCGCCGCTTATCAAACCTTATCGGAGCGAGCTTGCAGCTTCTCCGCAACAACCAACCTCGTACTCCGTGGAAAACGCAACCTCTCTCCCACAACCCTACAATGCACTGATATATCGGATTCCTATACACCAAAGGCCTCAACCATATCTCTCCACCAAAAAAAACAACCCAAAATGAGACTCGCACACCTCCACCTCCCCCACACAACGCCCTTTAGCCGGGTCTCTCACATCCAACAAGCCCTCACAACCCGGCTCCTCACACACAAAAGGCTCACCTCCCCAGGCTCAATATCCTCCCAAGAGCCGAACAACTCAAGTGCTACACTAGCCAAAACCCAGCTGCCACCTCCAGACCCAACAATCATCACCTTCACCCCAAACCCCGTCTACACCACCGGCCGTCGCGACCTCCCACCTTCAAACACAAGCCCGCCCTCCACATCAAACCCCGTTCTCTCCCTACCCCCAGCCCTCGAACCAATCCGCTCCCTCTTCACCCCGCACGGCAACCAACCCGCAAAGGCAGAGTACCACCCAACTCTCCGCGGCGGACAGACAACCTACCATGGACCGGGCCAGATGGTCGCGTACACGATCCTAGATCTCAAGAGACTGGGTCTAACACCCCGGTGTCACATCCGTGTTCTGGAGAATAGTGTCATCGATCTGCTAAAGAGCCATGGAGTTGAGGGGTTTACGACAGAAGATCCGGGGGTGTGGGTGAAGCCGATCGCAGAATCGGAATCAGGATCAGGATCACAACCGAGGAAGATCACGGCTGTGGGGGTGCATCTACGACGCAATATCAGCAGCTTTGGAATCGGGCTGAATGTCACGGACGAGCCGATGTGGTTCTTTAAGCAGATTGTGCCTTGTGGATTGGAGGGCAAGGAAGCAACTAGTCTGCAAAGTGTGGGTGTTCCGGGATTGGAGGTTGGGGATGTTGCTGCTGCGTTTGTGGAGAAGTTTGTTAGTCGGGTTAATGCTGATTTTGCATGTGGGGAGAATGCGCATGGGGAGAGAATTGATGAGGTTTATCAGGTTCGGGAGGAGGATTTATTGAACGATGTCTAGTATAGAGCTTTTGCTTGTGGATGCTCTGTTTGAATGATGTGGGGCTTGTGTTATTAGTGTTATGTTTATGTTGCTTGGTTGTTTTCATGCTGTTCGATAGCTCAGCTGTCGGGCTTGTATAACCTATATGTACGATGATGTATGTACCCTAGCTGGTACTTCGGATGGAGAGCTGTGCGTCGTGATTTGGCAGGATGGCCTGGATCACGATGAGGATGCAATGTAAGAAGCCTAACAAGGAAGTGCATTATATACATAGCTGCATTCTAATTTAGTCACAATGCGAATTGGACCACATAAGGTGAGCGAAAACAAAAGACGGAGAAACACAAAGCGCAAGGAGGTCCTTGAAAGTTGTTGAGCAATATGAATGAGAAAGTACTACCGGCAGAAAAGCAACCTAGCTTGAATATCCACCTGGGCATCTTGGTAAGATTATATGACAAGGTACCTTTCCCGAAGTACTTTCAGGGCGGTAAGCTAAAGGCGGTGAAATATGACTGAGAACTTTCGATTCACTGGAGTAGAAAACATTAAAGAAATAATACATAAAAAACCTTACAAGATCCAATGAAAATTATATTTATATATCGTAATCAGGAGTCAAAAGGCCAACCTCGCTGAAATGCTCGGAACACAGAGATCCGGAGTTATGCAATCATGCAATCAACATAGACCGGTTTCTATGCAGTCTGAATGGAGCAGACTATGTCTGCTCCGGAGAAGAAGAAAAAAAAAGTTTAAAGCAAGCTCAAAACACCGAATGCATGGGGGAATCAACAAATCCAATCAGGATAAACGTGGGGAGAGACTAAAGACAAGAGGGCGAAGAAAGGGGGAAGAATGGATGGGGACCTTCCAAGTATGGATATCCAGCCAGTAAACGAAGGACAATGTCACAGGCATAAAGAGTTACCATGCGTATCAGGGTAGACTGCAAGACATCACCTCACAGAATGATGCACTGAGAACCGGAGGACGAGCCCCCGCCCGCGTTAACCTCGAGGGCAACCTTAGCAGCCTCGTAGAAGCTTTCTCTGATGCCGCGATTTTGGACCGCAGAGCATTCTGAAAATAACATAAGCCGTGTGATCATGCATAGATAAATTGAAGAGCACTCACCCAGGTACTTCACGGCACCAATCTCCTTTGCCTTTGCTAGGCCCTGGTCAAAGCTGATGGAGTTGGGGTTATCGTTCATATCTTCGTCCTTGCGCAGATCGCACTTGAGTGCTGTTAAGACCACGCGCACACCCGGGCAGTTTTCGTTAATCTCGGCGATCCATTTCGACGACACGTTCTCGAAGGAGTCAGGGCTGTCGACCTATTTATCAGAGCTTGTTAGTCCTTTATGCGGTGGTATCTGAGAGGGAGAGCATTGTGCCTACACTGAAGCAGAGCATCAGCACATGTGTGTCCTCGTAGGACAGTGCTCGCAGTCGGTCGAACTCTTCTTGGCCGGCGGTATCCCATAGCGAGAGCTCCACGTGTATGTTGTCGACGAAGATATCTAGAGTGAATGTGAGTCTCGAGGATCGGGATCAGAGGAAGAGAGCGGGGTAATTATGTACCATGCACGTAGTTTTCTATATTACTCCGAGGTTAGCGATGCGGGTTCAGGAAATTAATTCAGCTTTAGGGGAATGCGCGCTTACCAAAGACCGTAGGCTCACTGAACACAGACGATAACCAGAGTCAGTAACCTGTATCTGAAAGTATGCTCCGAAAATGGTAGAATTCCTTACTAGACCGTTGGGAAGAATCTAGTGAAAGTCCGTTAGCTATGTTGTCATTCATCGGAGACGGGTGAGGGGGAGATTGCGCACCCACGAGTAAACACATTCAGCGCAGATGTCTTGCCGCAGGCACCATCGCCTCTGGAATAATATTAGACCAATCGCCAATAATCAGCGGGGAAATTCTGATCAAAACTAACAGCAGCACCATCTTGCGCTGGACCACCTTCTGTCGGCCGCACAGCTGCATTGCGCAAAGTGATTCAGGAGACGCGGAGTAAGGAGATAAGGGGGGGGTAATGGACAGTATGTCCAAGTATTATTTGTTGGTTCGTGAAGCGTTACTCGTATAAGAGTTTGGAACAATTATGTGACAGTAGAAGAGTGAAGTTGTTGTCGGGGGAAGATTCCAGGACTGGTTGAGTCGATGACATCGAGCACTGAAGGGCTTAAGGGATCGGCGAATAGCGTCAGCCCCCTTCTGGTCCACCTAAGAGTTTTTTTTTTTTTAACCTTTTGATAATTTGGCTGTTAAATTAAGTCCATTTTAGAACCGTCTCATACGTTAGGTTTGCTTGGGTATGTTCCTGGATGTTTTAGGTCTTGGGGCTCATACTCCGTACTCCCCACAGATTTTCTATGAATTCGTACACAGCCTCTTCTAGCTCTTTTTCGTACAAGTCGGCCTACCTTGGCTTTCATTCTACTGCATATTAAAGGCTCACATTTAGCTTTTAATATGTGGATAGCCTAGTAGCACTGCAATAATTAACATACCAAGCCCCTGATAGGTAACAAAGCTTATGGGATGCAAATATTTAGGTGGAACTCTTAATTTCCTTTCTGATGTGGCCTAAGTTATCTACCCAATTTCACATGCTTGGAATAATTGATGTATTCACATCGTATTCACATTGTAGGCATTTGAACAGTCCTCTAGTTAGTTAATTAGTTAACTGTATGTAGATAGGTTTCCTTCACATAGGTCGGTGGTTCAATAGAGTGGAACAATAAGTGGAACAATAATAATAATAAACTATTCAAGAGTAGCATTGAATGAACGTAGGCCTATTGAACAATCATTATTCAAACAAGCTGAATTAATATTGTTGACATATAACCTTGGAAACAGACAATGTGCAAAGTAGTTCTAAGTCAGTAGTCTCCTCACGATAGTCAAGGCGGAAAGCTCACAGCTGTTATCTGACCCAGCTTCTCCAACACTCCAACCCCACCACTTTGCGACCCTCTCTATCCTGACCACCCTTCTTCTCTGTTTGAAATATCACCCGCCTAAGATGTCCGACGATGATGATTTCATGCAGGATTCTGGGGATGAGGAGTATTGGTCCCTTGTTCACTCTGTCTTCGAGACCGAGAGCTGACCGTTCAAATCACAGTTACGACTTCGAATATGAGGATGCGGACGATGACGATTCCGGTGACATCGGAATCGAGAACAAATACTACAATGCCAAGCAGATCAAGGTCGACAATCCAGAAGAGGCAGTGGACGAGTTCCTAGGCATAGCGCCCATGGAGCAAGACAAAAGCGACTGGTAATTTGTTGTCTCCAAGGCTGATCGCAACAACTGTCGCTAACTATGAAAACATAGGGGATTTAAAGGCCTCAAGCAGGCTATCAAGCTGGAATTCAAGCTCGGGCGATACAGCGATGTAAGGCTCATGTCCCAAACCCCGATCTAGCTGTCCAGATACTGACTCCCATCTCTTCATTAGACTGTCACACATTACCGGGAACTGCTCACATACGTTAAATCCGCTGTTACACGGAACTACTCGGAGAAGTCGATCAACAATATGCTCGATTTTATCGAGAAAGGGTCCGACAATGCAGAGGCGTACCAATGCATGGAGGAATTCTACTCTCTGACCCTCGAATCATTCCAAAACACAAACAACGAGCGCCTTTGGCTGAAGACAAACATTAAATTGGCTCGTCTGTGGCTAGAGCGAAAGCAATACGGCCAGCTCGGCAAGAAGATGCGGGAATTGCACCGGGCATGCCAACGAGAGGACGGATCGGACGACACCAGCAAAGGAACATACCTACTCGAGCTCTACGCCCTTGAGATTCAGATGTCCGCCGAAACGAAGAATAACAAACGACTGAAAGCCTTGTACCAGCGCGCGCTCCGAGTACGGTCGGCAGTGCCCCATCCCAAGATTATGGGCATTATCCGTGAATGTGGAGGCAAGATGCACATGAGCGAAGAGAACTGGAGGGAGGCACAAAGTGATTTCTTCGAGTCATTCCGAAATTACGACGAGGCGGGTTCGATGCAACGAATCCAAGTTCTCAAATATCTGGTCTTAACGACCATGCTTATGAAGTCGGCCATCAACCCCTTCGATTCTCAGGAAACCAAGCCATACAAGAATGACCCCCGCATTTCAGCGATGACTGACCTGGTAGATGCCTTCCAGAGGGACGACATCCATGCATACGAGGACGTGCTGAGCAAACATCCGGAAGTCTTGGCCGATCCTTTCATTGCGGAGAACATCGACGAGGTTAGCCGCAACATGCGTACCAAGGCTGTGCTGAAATTGATTGCCCCCTATACCCGATTTTCGCTGCAATTTATCTCCAAACACATCAAGGTCTCTGTACCTGAGGTGTTGGACATTCTCAGTTTCCTCATCCTTGACAAAAAGCTCAATGCCAAGATTGACCAGGATAGTGGGACGGTGGTAGTGGAGAGTGCGAGTGACGTGGAGCGGCTGCGAGCTGTGGGAGAGTGGAGCTCCGCACTGCGCAACCTCTGGCAAACAACATTGAACGGTGAGGGGTTGCGTGCAAACGAGCCCTCTCAGGGTTCCATTTTCCAATCGAGTCTTGGAGACGAGGGTCTGCGATCGGGCCCCCGTGCACGAAAGGATGGCCGAGGTAAAATGCCAGGCAAATGGTTGTTCTAGGCCATCCTTTTTGAAGCGGTTACAAAGGAATTTTTTAAGCGCCCTTCCTCCACGTGTGCATATGCGAGCCGCGTGGGAAACAAAAAAAGAAGAGCTCACACCGGTTCTTTGTTGGGTTGGGCTTACTAGCGAACTGGACGGATTCAGACCCGCTATTTAGAGTTGGTCTGACAGCGCTAAAATCACGATAAGATGAACTCTTTTATGTTTCTGATCCTTTTTTTTTATAGTGGATGTAGTGGATTTGTAGCATGTAGTATTGTAATTGTAGAAATATTACTGCCTAGTTCCAAATCCTTGCCGGGAAAGATCCACTTGGGATGTAGTCTCACGTAAGTTTATGAAGCTTAACCTTGTTGAAATATATATACTACCTTTTTATATAGGTAATAGCTATAGATTACAATTTGAGAATAGCAGGTCCGATACAAAGAAAGATAAAATAAATTAAAATAAAGCAATAAAGCAATCTTAGGGGAACCTTGCGAAGAACCAAAGACATGTGAACACATTTCCTTATCTCCTATAGGGATTGCATGATTGTGCATCAGGTACGGGGCCTTTCTGCCGAGGTCTTCCCGATTTCTTTCTTCCGTCGAATCCATGTAGAACTTACGTACGGAGTAGCCTCACTCGGATCCGACGTTGGATATCGAATTCGCTGGAGCATATGAGCTCTATACAACATACGCGCCTAGGCTGGTGCGAATCACAATCACATCAAAGAAAAAAGAAACTCGAGAAATCCTCCTATCAAGGATATCCGAGCACTAGGTCGGGTGATGAACAATTCTATCACGGCAAAACCCTAACCAACATGCAAGTAGGATAGTAAACTGGTACGGAGTAAAAAGAAAAGAAAAGTAAAATAAAAACAAGTAATGCCACCATCGCCGCGAAAATAACGAACAGGAAAAAAAAAAAAGAAAAGAAAAACGAAAAGCAAATGCCGTATGCATCAAATCGGGGGGCTGCACCAATCATGAGGGGGCCAACATCCAACGAAATATCCCAGACCTCAGCCTTGGAGATTTTTCCAAACCCCGCTTTGGGGGCCTTTTACCCTTGACATATATTGCTTTTTATTTTACTTTGCTTTACTTTGCTTTTTTTTCGTGCCTTTGCTCCTGTTATATACCTAGTTAGGTGAGTCCGTGGATATTATGGAGCTCCGATTAGTCCGAGGCGTCAATTGGAGAGGGTGGGTATGTGTGGAGTGATACTAAGGGATTTGATAGTTAATCCGATGCATACACCTGGGCAATAGTATAATCAATATGGCGTATCCATGGATGTATAATCAGGAAGATAAAGAACTTGGGAATATACGTATCTTATCCTATTTATTCCTGTATTATTTGTATATAGTACGGAGCACCTAGGTAGTTTGATAACTCGAGGGATTGATTTGTGGGGTATAGAGGATTGTACTCCCGTACAACTTCAAAGTACGGAGTACAGCCTATGTACAACCTTAAGGATGTACTACATTAGTAGAAGGGAAAATGGAAGGGAAATAGAGGGTATTTACGCGAGATGTTGGTGTTGTTCGATCAGCATCTTCAGACATCTGTATGGACGGAGGTAACTGGGGCACGGTGCATCGGTGCATCGTTACTTCATACTGTTTTATTTTTTACCCTTTTTCCCTTTTCTTTTCTTTTCTTTTTTTTCTTCTAAACACATTTTCTTTTTATTTTCGAATCTATCTTTTTCTGAATTTCAATATTCCCGATTTCCATATAGGGAGGAAAACAAGTAGGTTGAACTTCCCCTACTTTTTTTTCCCCTACCAAAACACACTCTCTTTACCAATTATCCTCCTCTCCCCGCAAAAACTCCCTTCCCCCCCAAATCTCTCTTCCTCCCACAACTCTATCCAGAACTTTTAGGGATCGTCCTTTTTAACCTTGGACTCTCTCTACTGTCTCAGATTTCACATTTTCTCGATCTCACTCGGCACTGATTATCTCATCGGGGTCATAAAACCTTGGAAGGTAAGCAACTTCCGATCGCCCTTTTCTTTCTTTTGTCATTGTGTGTAATACACTCTCGATTTTCATTCCTTGGCCCCCCTTCTTTTTTTTTTCACAGCCCTTCTGGATCTCTGTTTAATTCTCCGGAATCCATATCCGCTCCATCATTTGGGAAATCAGACTCTTGGGTCCCTGTCTTACAAATCTGGTTTGGTTCGTGCACCCCTCCATCAGGAGCCGTTCCCAACCGGCTTATATCCTTTGCCTGTGGAGGCTGATCCTCCTGACATCATTCCGGTTTCCCTCTCTCCACAATGTGATTGTGATATCCCCC